AAGGAAATAAATACATTTTATTTCTTACTCCTACTTCAGCTCTTAGGCTTACTCCCGGTGAATCAAAATGCCATCAATCATGGCATTTTGATTCACCGAGAGTAAGTCTAAGAGCTGAAGTAGGAGTAAGAAATAAAGGCTGGTCTACAATACATGGAGTAAGTGGAGTAAGGAGTAGGAGTAAGAAATAAAATGGATTTATTTCCTTACTCTTACTCCTTACTCCAGCTTACTCCAGCTTACTCCATGTATTGTAGACCAGCCTTAAAATGGATTTATTTCCTTACTCCTACTCCTTACTCCAGCTTACTCCATGTATTGTAGACCAGCCTTTAGATTGTACGTCCAATACATCCTTAATACATCGGGCTGGAAATCACAGCGAGTCTCCGCGCGCGGTTATCGAAGAGGGAGAGAAAAAAGGAGAAAGAACCGTACTCGGGGAGTTTCCATTGTTTTGAATTAACGGAGAAATCTCCTGAACTCGCGCGCAACTTTTTCCCATCCTCGACCGCGCGCGCGTCCCGAAAAATCGCAATCGCGCATGTCGCGGCCGCTTATCGCGGCCCCGCGACGCAATCGCCTGACACTTCTAACCTCAACCCAGCGTTCGCCGAGCGAGCTCCGCGCGCTCGCCGCGGACTCTCCGTCCGTTTCTCTCGCCCTCCGGCGACTCGCGGTCCCGAGAACACGCGCGATTTCAGCCCCGGTGGACGAGATCGACGAGAGCCCGGGCCGCTAAAGGCTCCCCCGAGACACGAGCAGTCATTTCACGCGCGTTTATTTACCAGGAATGTCAGCCTCTCGGCACACCGCGCGTTTCTCCAACGTCCAGCGGAGACGGAGACTCGCGTCGCACGGCGGGCGCGACCGTCGCGGGGAAAAACGGGGGACACCGAGGCCGCGACACATCGTGTCGCGCGGAGAAGAACCGTACGTCGTCCGCTCGGCTCTCCTCTCCTAACCTCTCGATCCGAAATTCATAGCGCCCCCACGTAAAACGACGTCGACGGGCGAAGTCGCGAGAGGGGTTGCGATACACGCGGCGCGCGTCGTGTGTGCTGGCTGGCACGACGATCGACACGTCGGGGGGGAGAAAAAAGACGAGGAGAAGGAGGCGGAAGAAGCGAGAGAAAAGGTGGCGGAGGAGAGAAGGATCGCGGGTTTAACGATCCCGGGACGGTCGGGCTCTCGTCGCGGCGCCGCCGAGTCGCGCGCGACTCCCACGGACAGCGACTCCTCGCCGCCCGGGCTCCTCGCTCTCGGCTCTTTACGGACTTTTTCAAAATGGCAGCGGCTACGGACGAGCTGAGTAAGTACTCCCGAGAGAAAAGAAACGGGGGGGCGAGAGATAAGGACCGAGCCGTTCGACGGCGCGACGCAATCGACGGCCGGGTCGCGGGTCACGTCGCCCGCCCCGGACGGGGACGAGGACGGGGCTGGGCGCCGGGTCGGCGCGACCGAACCCCGATTGTCACGGGGAGAGACGGCCGGGAACGACTCCGGCGAGAAGGCACCCGCGGCTTTCCGCTCTCCCCGCCGCCCCCCCCGGGCACGTGTCCGCGGCCTGTCAAATCTCGCATCCTGGTTTAAATCCCGTTGACGCCGCGCCGACCCGACGGCGCGTGATGTCAGCGTTTCTCCGCGATGACCTCACGTCCGCTCGACGCTCGACCACGTCGCCGAAATGAATATGGATCGATGGGTCGCGCGTCCCGTCCCAGTTCAGATCCTCGTGGGCGTTGCGGATTTAACGGGGACGATTAAAAATCCTCTCCCCCCCCCGTCCCCGCTGCGATCGTCCCCGTAGGGACGGAGACGCGATGTCGCTCGCGCCCTTCATCCCTCTTTGTGCCCCTTGCAGTCCTGCTCGAGCGGGTGTTCCTGCGTCTGGGCTCCGCCGAGACGGACGAGCAGCTGCAGGCGTCGGTCTGCAAGTTCCTGCCACCCGTGCTGCTCAAGCTGTCCAGCGCGCAGGAAGGCGTCAGGAAGAAGGTGATGGAGCTGCTGATTCATATAAACAAGAGGATAAAGAGCAGGCCCCAAGTGCAGCTGCCCGTCGAGGCTCTGCTCCTGCAGTACCAGGACCCGTCCGCCAGTTCATTCGTGATCGTACGTTGCCCGCGCGGATGTGTCGCTCGTCACGAGCCGCGAGATACGGAGGGGAGGATCGTAACGTGTGTTCCTATGATTGCAGAACTTTACGATAATATACATAAAGCTTGGGTACCCCCGCATGGAGATGAACAAGCAGGCGGAATTGGTGCCGAGCGTACTGAATGCCATCGAGGGCAAGCCGCTGTCGCATCAAGACAGGTTCGCTCGTCAACTTCGTTTGATCCTCAAATTAAATCGATCGCACTCGCGCTTTTACACCTTTAAGGGCTCGAGAACTATTTCGATATCTGTATCGCCATTGTCAAGTGTCGGATTACGATATACCGTGTTTCAGTTTGATGCTGATCATAATGCCGGCACTGGGACATATCAACATACCAGCGGACCCCGACAAACGGGCGTCTCTCTTGGGTTTGCAAGACAAACCTTACGTGGCGAAGCAGCTCATCAATTTCATGCTCGACATACTATTGTTGCCGTATGGGTGAGAGATATATATACGCTGTACAATTCGTTATTGCTTTTCGACATCCACTTAATCTCTGACACGCTGCGACGCGCGTGTGTGCCGTCAGATCCGTGGGACAAACGGAAAGTCAACAGTCGGGTCAGGCCATCGATTGGTCCCAGTTCACCGTGCCGCCGGGCCTAAGCGACTACGCGTTCAAGAGGGTGATAGGCGAGAGTCCGCCCACGGCCGAGCAACTCGAGCAGATCAAGCTGGGCATCGTTAAGTTCCTCGCCGGTGGATTTTTCCCGGACACGGATATCCTGATACACCTCATCGTGGCGGCCGCGGACACCAGATTCAGCATCGCTAATATGGCGGATCTGGAGCTGAAGAAGATGGCCAGGTGCGTGCGAGCCGTTGAGCCTCGTGTCCACGATTCAAGAACTGCGTCCAGGTTCTAGTTCCAAGAAAATGTGCAACGAATCGACCTGCACCTTTTATGGAAAAGCTGCAAGTTGATTGGCTACGCATTTCTTGGGACCAGAACTTGGACACAGTTCTTGGATCGTGGACACAGGGCTTTAGAATTTGTCTGGCGTAGGTCAGTGCTGCAATTTCCGCTGTATTTATCTGTTTAGCGCACTGGACTGGTCCTCGATGCAACTAGCAGCGCCGCTTTACACGTTATTCCTGGGTACCGACGCACTGGCCGCGCAGAAGGACATGAAGCCTGAAATGAAACGGCTACCCGCGAGCACTCGAATTCGCCTCAAGCTATTGCAGTATCTTTGTCGGGTGACTAAAGCGGGATTCATCATACCGCCGTGTATCCAAGTATGTAGAGTTTAACTGAGGAAAGAAAAGCGACTGGTCACGGTGTTGCATATTAAAATTGTCATTTCTGCTCCTCAGGTCATTTTCGATTCGCTCTATGGAAAAAATACGAATGCAAAGTTAAAATCATTAGCACTGCAATTCACGTCAAACATCGTCCAGCAGTAAGTGTTTCGCAATTCGTTCGCTAATAAGCCTCTCTTTTATCTCTCATTGCCGCTTATTGGTAGAATTTTAATTCTCGGTTATTTCTAAGGAAAATGTCGATTGAATCTTTTATTCGCACGCACATAGTTGACAGTACATTGGTGATTTAGCATATTTCTTTATATGCGCGATGTAACTCATTGGTTAGAGTACACATTTTGGCTACATAATGATTCATATTTAATTAAACAACAATTTTTCAAGCTGCAGCCTCGTACCGTTAACCCGCGTCGCCGGAGTCATCTTGAACGGCATGATAAAGTTGATCTCCGAAGGCGATGACGTGCACAAGCCGATGGCGTACACGGTCATTGGGCAACTTGGTCAAAGGATACCGTCTCTGATAAACAAAGACTTGAGTTTGTTGCACAATCTATTTGACACGCTTGTTTCTGTAAGTATCCGGCTCCTTTGCAAATACGGCAATAAAATTGTCATTAGATTGCCGAAATCACGTCTACATTAAGGCCGGTATTCATAGTCGGATCTTCTATTCAAGACCGTCTTGAATTTATCTAAAGATGCTGCATGGAGCATTTCATTGGCTACGGAGTATCTAAAGATGATCTTAAGACGGTCTTGAACATAAAATCTGACTACGAATACCGGCCTAAGTGTTTTATTAATATTTAAGACGGACGGCGAGTTACGACGTACGGTAAGGGACGCCTTGATTTGCGTAACGTCTGCGTTCGTGCTGAATAAGGAGGACGAGAACAATATAGCTCTGATGAACGCTCTGCTGTCGGTACACATTGAGTCGCCGGAATCCAGCGTAAGGCATGTATATGAACCATTGTAAATTGTACCCACGTTACATTAATCTCGATGTATATCCTAACCGTGTACATGACGTGTATTACTTTGCGAATAGATTTGTGGCAATGCATTATGCCGCAACCGTGTTTCCACCTGATGACGCACCATCTCGGTATCTCTTGTTATTAGCGTGTGGTGACAACAAACACGAGATAAGTACGGAGGCCATGAAGGCGCTTTACGGCGTTGCGCACAAAAATGAGGACAATCAACAAATCAGCAGCAAGATATTGTTGCCCGAATTTGTCAAGTTAGTAAGTTACATTTATCCGAAGATGCAGTCGAGAATGCCTGCCGCGAGTAGCGGCAGAAACACGGACAAGCAAGCACTCCCGTATAGTAGTGCCACGTTTTCCGAAGTAAGTCTCCAGGTGGAAGCCGGATCTGTGTGTGTGTGTGTCGCGAGAATATTGTTACCATTGTAATTTGCATTGTTGCAGATCATTTCTTACTGTCGCGTCTGCCTCGCCAGAAGTGCTAATATTCCGACGCGAAACGAGCCGCTACAGCATCCTTGCGAACATACTCCTCTGATTGGCCGTTACTTGGAAAAATTATACAAGGACCAACCGGAGATATTAAATAATTATCTCGATATGATCTTACTGTCGAGTCATTCTTCCGCAGGTAAAAAATAACCACGAATAAGAACCAACTGTATATAAGAACCATTGTGCCAAGTTAAATGTGTTTTATCGGCGCAGATCAAATTTCCTTGAACGCATTATTGGAAGTGCTCGGGTCCGTTCCGCATTACATGATAAAATCGTACGAGAAGGAGCTGCTGTGGCTCTGCTCCTTGCTCGCCTCCACCAAGCAAGAGGTGCGACAACTAGCCGCGAGGGTGTACGCTGCTATCACCGGTTATTTTCCGAAGAATGAGTTCGAGAAACATGTCTCGAGTATCATGAACGTTATGAGTAGAAAAACCTTGGAAGCGCAGCACGGTGCATTAATGGCACTGACTTATATGATGGAGAGAAATTTAATACAACAACGAAATGGAAACGTGGAAGATTTGTGCAATTGGACGACTTACAGCGATATTGTGAAAGCAATCGGTATGCATTTATATATACATATATATCAAATTATATCGCATTGTGTAAGTACGTTTAATGTATTTGAAATTTACTATGTTTATTACTCAGGTGCGTATCTTCGCGATAACGCGATACTATTAATGGACGCAGCGATTCAGGCTGTTGGCATCCTGGGTAGAACGTATCCTCTACCTTTACCAGCAGAGGGCGATGACGTGCTGAACAAGAAAGCAATAGTAGAAACGCTCTTTTCTGTCTTGTCTAATGCTAAATTGAATACCAAGGTTTGGCTCTCGAATATTTTAATATTTGTTGCTACGATACGATATGTAGACCTACGGCTTTTTCTTTAGATAAAGGAGAAAGCTGCGCTTTCATTGGGACACCTGTGTGTTGGCGAGTGCTTTCCGCACACCACGGATATCGCTAACAAAATTATAGCAACGGTGAAAGAGGTGCGTAAATCCGCTTTTATACCCGATAGGCTTTACACGTTTATGCACGTAATGACGATGTATGATATTCAACAGACAAAGGATATCGAAATCCATTTAATTCTGGGGGAAGCTTTGGTTTGCTGCGTTCAAGCGCAAGCTTCTCCGGAAGCAAGGGATGCCTGGACGACTTTACCCACCGAACATATTGTCCCGTATAGTAAGGAAAGTGACGAATTATTAATACACGTGTTGAATGAATTATTTAATATATACCAAGTGCCTCATCCGAACTTACGACAGGTATTTATATGGCGTATTTTAAACGAGGGGTGAGAAGTAGTTCTCGGTTTATCAATAGCATCATGTGTTTCTTTAAAGGCAGTATGTGTATGGTTATTCGCGCTACTGAAGCACAACGTTCAACGAGAGTGCATTAAGGAAAGGTTGGCCATGATTCATCATGCATTTATAGACTTTCTTTCAGATGACAGTGGTAAGAAATATAAATTGTTGATCGTATCAATGAATTTTGTCATCTCTGAGCGGAGAAAGTGAGATTTGATCTTTCGATCTCGTGTCGCAGATATAGTGCAAGATATTGCTTCGAAAGGCCTTAGTCTGGTGCACATAAACAGCAAGCAAGAAGAACGCGAGGCTTTAGTGTCCAAGATATTAGATCAGTTTACGCAGGGTCGCAGAACGGTGCAGCAAGTTACCGCCGAGACCAAATTATTCGAAGAAGGTCAATTAGGGAAAAGCCCATCTGGGTAAGATTAAAGTATACAATTATTTTCGCGTTAGCTCACAGTTTAAGGTGAAAATACCTGAATCGATTAGACGATTATTGAAAATTACGCTACGTTGATAAAAACGAAAAGATATTGGACACTGAACGAAGTAATGCAACTTTTCAGCGGTAATCTATCGACGTACCGAGAAATCTGTTCCCTCGCGACGGAGTTACAGAAGCCCGAGCTCGTGTATTATTTCATGCACTTGGCAAATCATAATGCGATATGGACATCCAAAAAGGGAGCCGCGTTCGGTTTCGCGGCAATCGCCAATATCGCGAGGGACGAACTGAATAAATATCTACCCAACATTATACCGCGATTATACAGGTATCAGTTCGACCCGACGCCGAAGATCCAGCAGAGCATGACCAGCATTTGGCGGGCCGTCGTTCCGTCCACGACGAAAGCTGTTAGTAATATTATTCTTTAGTTAACAACATCCTGAAATGTACATAACGTTGTAAGCATAAACATTTGTTTTTCATATACCGCCATAGATCGAACAGTATCATAAAGAAATATTGACTGATGTAACTGATAATCTAACGAATAACGAGTGGAGGGTACGTATCAGTTGTTGTAATGCTCTCGCAGATCTTTTAAGGACAAATGTTCAATTCGACTTCGCCGAATGCGGCCCGGAGCTCTGGAAGAAACTGTTTCGCGTAATGGACGATATTCACGAGGGCACGCGGTTAGCCGCGACCAACTCCACTAAGATACTTAGTAAGGTGAGATACACGAGTTTCTTACGGTCGTCTGCGGTTTAGACATTCAACATCGCTATGCTAATCCTGCAGGTTTGTATACGTCATTGCGATTCGTCGCACGGTAATGCCGGAAAAGAAGTTATTCAGGCAATATTGCCTGTGCTGCTCGACATTGGCATTGTTCATCAAGTGGATGCGGTGAGAGCTATATCGCTGCAAACGGTGTCGCAGCTCGTATCGACGGCCGGCGTTCTGTTAAAGCCGTCGCTCGTCAATCTGATACCGTCGTTATTGGAGACGATCGGTGAATCGGAGAATCCTAAACTATCGTATTTGAGTAACGTGTGCGGCGCGACTACGGAAACTCAGGAAGTTATCGACAATCTTAGAGCGAATGTTGCCAAAGGTCATTACGCGTCGGACACGATAACGAAGGTACTTTTATTCTCATGAATGATTTTAAAAGCGAACTCGATCGAGCGCGACTTGATGAACTTTATTTTTAAATGCTTTCCTGCAGTGTATCCAGTATGTCGATGCTGACGTATTGAAGGATTTAATGCCAAAAGTAATAGATTTAATCAAGTGCAGCATAGGATTTGGGACAAGAATCGCTTGTTCGCATTTCGTGATTCTTCTCAGCACGCATCTCAAAATAGAGTTGCAGCCTTACAGCGGTTAGTAACCATGTCAATTTCACGGGAACGCGAAATCTTTTTACTCTACGAGAGGGGAGTTACATTATTTTTGATAATTTTTTTACAACAAACTAACCATGCCGTTTTATTCAGCTAAGGTACTGTCTGCCTTGCTCAATGGTTTGTTGGATCGTAATGCTGCCGTGAGAAAAAACAATGCGGTTAGCATTGGACACATAGTCGGCTCGGCTAAAGATTCTAGTTTGGATAAATTATTTAATACCTTGAACACGTGGTATTTGGAACGCGAAGGTACATCCCGGTGTCTAACAATAGCGTTGTATACTTTTGTTGTGACGTCGTATAATTGCGTTTTATAAAAAACAAATGTAAATTACAGATGATACGATAAGATTAGCGATCGGACAGACTTTGCAGTCTGTAAATAATTATAATCAGGAGAAATTGAAGAATTATCAAAAAATAGTCATTCCTCTTGCCTTCTTTGCGATGCACGCGGAAAAGGTACCAGGTATGTATATTCCTGTCTTAAAAATTCGCTACAGTATGCGTTTTAATTTCGTGTATTTTCTTACGCACTGTTATTTATCAGGAAACGAAAGTACGGTCGAATTATGGACTGATTTTTGGAACGAAATAACGCCCGGAACTGAAGCAGGAATTGCGCAAAATCTGCGAGCAATAACCGGCATTTTACATACGGCTTTGGAGTCAGCGTCGTGGACTACTAAAGTACAAGCGGCGAACGCAGTTCATACCGTTGCCTTAAAATCAGGTCATAATATTGATGCAGAGGCCAGGAATACTTTATTGAAGATACTGACTAATGGTCTGCGCGGTAGAACGTGGAATGGAAAGGAACGTCTACTGAACGCTCTCGCTATGCTAGCATGCAATAGCAAGTATGTCAGATGTCGATTTGAAACTTTTATAAATGACTTAATTAATGCTCGTTAAAACTAATGCCTCGCATCTTAATTGCAGAGAAGCCTTAAATGCAGATACTGCGTTGTTAGATATAGTCGTAGTAACACTACATAGGGAAAGCAAGAAAGAGAACGCGGAGTATCGTCGGCACGCATTACAAGCGTTTGCTATGGTCTTACATGAACTTGATATTGATAGGTTTACGGAAACATATGAAATTGTACAGGAAATATTGATTAAGGTAAGATACCGTCGGCAGCGATATCGTAAAGAGATATTGGCGAGTAATATCTGCACGCTTTATATACAGGTATCTGATAAAAATAACGACGATGAAGAGGACACTGCGGAAGAGAGTAGGAAGAGAAAGGAAAACAATATAAAGTTGCAAGAAACGGTTTACGAGGTGCTTGGGAAAGCATGGCCTTCCACCAAAGAGACCCAAGGTTAACAAACTTGACGAATTTTACCCAGTGAAAAAATACCAATATGCGTTTTCGCGACATTCTAAATATCTTAATAAATTAACTCGATTGCAGATAAATATTGCATAGAATTTGTGACTCACTGTCAAAAAGTACTGCCAAATAGTACGAGATCTGTCCAAGTCGCTATCTTGACGGCATTAAATCTCTTCGTGGATAGACTTGTCTTATTAAAAATAAGTAAACCGGAGATGCCGTTAAAAGACAAGAAACTAATAGATCAAATAGGTGATAGTCTCAACAAAATATTATTATATTGTATAAGTAAGTATCATGTATTATGCGATTGAGTACACTAATCCTATATTTAACACTATAATGCTTCATTAAAATAATTTAAGCACTTGGTGTTTTTGTGCTCGTATCACTTTAAACATACTTTGTTTCTTCGCAGATATCTCGAAGTTCACCAAAATTAGAAAAGAAGCATTAAATATCGTTCTTTCGTTAGCAAGAAAAATGCGCGAGACGAACAATGATGAGCAACTCGATAAGATGACTCGCCTTTTGAAGGAACTTCTGCCCGATCTAGCAAAGGATAACCAACCAGAAATACGGACCAGAGTAATTGATATTAAAGAAATGCTTAAAATTTAATCGACGCATACATTGCACTTGGTACCTCGGATCGCGTTTATCTTTCGCACACGTCGAAGCATGTTGCGTACTGTCGTTGATGCTGGCGCTCTCGGAGTGACGATAACAAAAGATCGATAGTTATGGTTGCGTGTTTATTTAATAATATGTTAAATGTAGATGTGTGCCTAATATAGTATTATACTCCTTAATAAAATGTCATTTAAAATAACTCGTTCGTAAATTTCTTGCGCCCTTGTGTATCGTATCATAGAATGGATCTCGATCAAGTAAAAAGATCAGACAAAACCAGATTAAAAATATAATGGGAACATTTTGAGTTATTTTTATCACAATGTACTTTTGCTATGTTAGAAACGAAAGTCAATTTTCCTCAAAATTACGGATATTAGAAGTAAGTTATTTTGATAACGGAACGACACGTGCAATGACGATGGTTTTGTCTCCAACACTTATTCGAATCCTCGTTCGAATCACTTGAATAAGTAAAATAGAAACACGGAACGGATGCTTCATTTCGCACAAGTAGCAAATAACACCAAAATGTAAGACACTTACCTCACGATTTCTCTGCCGTTGCCCGATGCCTCCTTGGCCTCCTCCTCCTCTTAGATTTCCTCGTTACACTTGCACAACACTCACTCGCGAAAATCATCGATCGCGCGAAATTTCGGGCACTCCCGTACGCGATGTGAAATACCGCGAAACGCACGAAATATTATTAACAAATATCGCGTGACTTTCTGTCGTGCAAATTACTCAAACTAACAACTTGCATTTTTGATTCGGAAGAATAGGATAATGGATAAATCACTTTTGAATTGGCGATGTAAAACTCAACGCGAGCATCGGAAGCAACGGTTTACACTCATATCTTACAATTAGACGAGTTGATCTCTTGAAATCTACGTTGATAAAAGCCGCCGCTTGAACGTGCCAATCAGTTTTCATTACAAGTTATAATATTTAGTCAACTTATACAACACTCACTCGCGAAAATCATCGAACGCGCGAAATTTCGGGCACTCCCGTACGCGATGTAAAATACCGCGAAACGCACGAAATATTATTAATAAATATCGCGAACAAACGTTACTTATTCATAATAAGCGTGTACAAATCAATAGCGTTTTATCCGCACATTCGTCGCGATCGCGTCTTGGAAACCGATAACGCGAAAGTAATACGACGCACGGAACGACTCTCGACACGGCCTGCCGGCACGACGTTCGGCGAGCGAGTGATCGCGCGGTGACCTTCAGGTAAACGTTGGCCCGCGTAACGTCGTACGATACCGCGCCGAGAAAAACAACAAAAAAAGTTGAGAGTTCGTTGTACCGCTTACGAAATGGAAAATTCCGTACTTAATATAATATTTTACATTACTTTGTTCCGCGGCTGTTACTACGTTTTGTGTATCATTATGCGGGCTTATTGGTACCGATTAAATAAACGATTAATTCTGTTCAATCGAGAAAATGTATCGGAACAAAAATCATTGTTACTTAAATTCTAACTACTAATTGTAAGATTAGAGATTTTACCTCAATAGTTGATGCATACAAATGTATATTACTAAATTACAAATCTTCATTTGTTATGAGCAAAAATTATCGAATTATTTACTTTAATAATAACATAAATCGGTGCTAAATACTCGATTGGAAATGGCACTGCGCACGCTATTTGGTCTTAATTTATATTTATTCATTATCTTCTTCACACATTAAGATTTTTCTCATGTGAAGAAGACGTAATCTGACGTTGACACTCTGTCAAAATGCACACGATCTCTGCACTGACAGCTACTCGCAGTAGAAAGCCAAGCGAGAAAATCAGCATCGCGGAACGGCTTCAATAATTAAATCTCTTAAATACCTTTTTAAAAAGAAAAATAGTTGTCGTATCTCATCAGAAGAATGAGAATTTCTTTCATTCTCCGTCACTCAATTGGATATTTAACTTGAACTTCTTTTTTTTATAATAGTTCCTAACTTTCTTTAAGTATATTTTTGCACAACTGCCAAAGTTCGCATGCGAGCTGAAGCACGACATGATTTTAAGAGAGAAGCGAAGCATATCGCACTTCGAGAAAACCAATCGGCATCGCGGAAAAGAGGCCTCAACTGTACGATATTAACCCTTTGCACTCCTACGTCGAGTGTGACTCGATATCAGTCTTTATCTCAGGAGCTCCTTTGTCGAGTCTCACTCGACATTTTTTCAAGTCCAAACCAATAGATGAAATATAATACGGAGTGCAAAGGGTTAACAACGTTTCGAGGCATCCATAGTCAAGACTTGTCAGAACAAGACGTCTTGTTCTGACACGACTCAACTTGTTATTCACAAATTTAATATTTATACAAAATGACGTCAATTTTTTAATCGATCATTCTGACCATCACTATTTTTTAATACGGACACATGTACTTTCTGATTTATGACCTTAAGGTGGTTGGTTGCTTAATTAAAAATGAATTCAAATTTATAGAAAATATATGTAAAAAATGATAAAAATGTTATAAAAATAAGTGCAAATAATTTTACAGATATCGTAATACTTTGCTATGTTGACCATGTGCAATAGTATAACTTTAATAATTAATTATTCGACAACCATGCAGACAATCGTCTTAAACTTTTGCATGGAGGACAGATTCCCATAGACGAATATTTTCTATAAATTTGAATTTATTTTTATCATCTTCATTTCAGCAACCATCCTCCTTAAAGATATATTGTCATGTGTGATAGTATGTTTCGACTTTTTTTCCGTGTAACTAAGCGTATCCAAATTAATTTTTATCCCATTTGATAAGGGCCTGTTACAATACCTCCGGTAAATACAGAACAACTAATATTAAAGCAGGATAAGAATCGCGAATAATATACATACCATTCGGATATCAGCTCATCATATTTATTCTAATTTTTTTAACAATATCGATGCTCCAGCGCCGCGCTTCGTCTTGAGACTTGCCGTTAACGGTTTCAATTTGGATAGTAACATATCTTTAACGTCCTCACATTCGTTTTCTATAAGAAGAATTAGTAAGAAGCAAGATCTATTGAATTCCGTCCACTTTTCTAACACTTCTGGCGTCAAGTGCGATATTAATATTTCCCCAAATGTAGATTCGTTCTTCTTTACCAGCTCCTTGTCATTCTGAATAAGTTTCTTCAACATTACGTGTAGTCCAGGGTGCTCAACCACATTAAACTCGCTGTCATTCTCCTTGATTTTTGCCTCTATGTCGGTGAGAAACTTTGCAATCGACTCGAACGCGGAATTTAGTTTCTCCCCCGATCCGACTTTCAATATCGCCAGCGTAGTCATAGCTATGCCGCCGTTGGATAACCACGTAGCTGTGTCCGCGATTACAGCGTCGAAAAGCGGGCCGCGGATTGCCTCGAGGAGTTCCCCTTCCCTAACATCGGCTAGTTTCTTGCTCCAAGAATTGTCATCACCCTGGCGTAAATATTCCACGACGTCCGGCGAGAAGTAAAGCGGCTTTCTTCTGGCCACAAGATACGATAGAACGTGCTTCCCATACTCGTTGAGCGCGATATTAACTAGATCCTCTTGCAGCTCGGACAATATTATTTTCTGCACGAGCACGGTATCGTCCACGGAATCGAAGAGCGCCAATAGCAGCATGTGACCATATTTGGACGCGCAAATCGCCTTTACGTTTCCCTTGAGGGCCTTCATAATAAATTTTCTATCCTTGCTATTGCCGTGCCACATACATTGCGTAGCGACTCTCGTTCCCATCTTCGTCTGGCATAACGTTATAATGTAAGATCGCAGCGTAACTATTAACTCGCTCCTATCTTCCGTCGAACACGCGCAGAGGAATTCCCACAGAACCGTCTGCAGCAGGGTGGAATTGACGAGGCCCTTGTTCAAGATTCTAATTACATTTGCTTTCACGGCGGATAGCGTGGCCAGCTTCATGTCCGTCGCAACTTTGTATACGTCCGACAGCGACTTAACGCTGTTGTCCTTTTCCAGTTTATACATGTCCCCATAAAACTCTTGCTTGAAACGTATCTTGTCGAGTTTCGTGCACCAGGTGCAGTACGCAAGTTCCACGAGAGAGGCCGATACGCTGTGACTCATTAGTTTCACGATGTTGCCGCAAAATCCAGAGATAACCGCGGACCTGATTTCTTGCGAGCCGTACTTCAGTATGGCTTTTACGCAGTTCTTTGCGTACTTGGACTGCAACATCTCCACAACGAGCGGCTTTGTCTCGCGAAATATCGCCTGCCGAGTGTGCTCGTCGCAATACTTGATCATACATTGAACCACTCTGGACATGTCGTGCGCAAATATCACCTTGCCGTAATGATTTTCCAGCATGCCGTGCAACGTCCGGGTCAGCGTTACACGATCGGTGGACTTGCAGTCGGATCTACGCAACTTCTCGCCGATCCGCTTGGCCTGAACGATCTTGTCGAACACCACATCGTCGTTCAATCTCTTAGCTTTGCGCTTCTGCCTCAGCTCTTTCTTCTCCTTTTTCAGCTTGACCCAATCGGTTTTCTCGCTGGTCTCCTTCCCCGATTTGTCCTCTTTGGATTTCTGTCCCAACTTTTTCCCCTCCCTCTTCCGCTTGAGCAGGTCTATCTTCTTAATCGTGGAACTATTCTTCGCCGCTTTCAAATTCGTTCCCTTGGCGTTCGCCTTCGCCAGAGACGGCTTTGCGGCTTTACCTAGAAAACGTTTCATTCTTACGCCATTCTTACACATTTTCTTACACCTACGACCGTGCCCGAACCACAGCTTCCCCCTCTCGTTCGTACCTGCAGGTTTATTGTCCAGGGATTTCTCGAATCTCACTTTCTTCCTCTTCTTGTTGTCCCCTGCGCCCGCAGTGTCCTCCGCTCTTGCGTCACCAGCCTCCAAACTCGTCGCCGATCGCTTCATCCTGGAATCGATCTGTCCGCGACAAACAACACGTTAGATGCGAAAGGCAAGCCCGAAATCTTCATATTATACCCTCCATTTCCCCCGTGACAGTCCACCCATTAAAGGAAAAAAACCGAAAACACCTCGCGGAGAAATTAATTTTTATTTTTGCCTCCACTGGGTCAATTCTGTATCTCACGCTGTAGCGAAAACGCTAAAAGTTGGTAGCTTCGTCTCTTTCTAGCCATCTCCTTGGAAAGAGACAGAGCCGCCCACTTTTAGCATCTTCGCTGCAGACGGTGCTATTTTTCCTGCTGGATCACTTGGGATTTACTGAATTACTAAGGAATCCCGAGTGCCGAATGGTGCAACGATAATAATTTATTAGATTGCAAGCAATCCAGCAGGAAAAATGACCCCCCCAGGCGTACAGTGACTCGACCTAACCTCAATCTAACCTCAAACGTAAGTCCAACAGTCTCGGACCTGCGAGAAAGCCCTCGTATCCGTCACTCGGCAGTTTCTCAACGAAACGAACGTTCCGACAGCGAACAGGCCTCAAGGTTCGCGATCGCACACGTTTAACCGAGATCGAACCGCGAATCGCTACAGTTCATCGTCTCGCCACGTGAACCCGAAGGACCCGAAGTACCTCCTTACCGCGCGATCCCGCGCCACGGCCATTGGTCGAGCCGGGGCGGTCGAGCGTCTCGTTTCTCCTCGATAGATCTCGATACCTCGCGAGAGTCGCTTCTCGATTACAGGCGACCGCGTTATCGCGGGCCAGTCGCGAAATATATGCGTTACGTCC